CCCCCCCCCCCCCCCCCCCCCCCCCCCCCCCCCCCCCCCACACCCCCGTCTGTCTCGCCATTCTGTTTTTATTATTGTTATTATTATTATTTTGTTTTTTGTATTCTCCCACCCCCCGTTTCCAATAAAGACTGCCTGTCCTCATAACTATGAGTTTTGATCATCATTTCATTCGTGGTTTTATTTATTTTTTGTTCTTTTATCTGTGATGGTACTTTGTCACTGTGAACTGAAAGCCATTGTTGAAATTATACACAAAGATTTATTGGTTAAACAGGGCTGTTCTACACAAGCACGCCTGCACACACTTTGAAAAACACACACACACACACACAGTAACTGAATTTGCTCCTGTCTTTAACCAGTAGACTGTAATCCAATAGAACTCATATTCTAGTCTGAGCCGTGTACTTGCTGAATATTAGTCGTAGAGAAAATGTATTTTACTAAGAGAAGCTCTATTTTGCACGGCGCTCCTGGTACAGGCGGGCCCACTCTGTGCTGTCATGACAGAACGACTTGTCGCAGCCACGAATGTTTATTGTTAATACTGAACCTCGGCTTCAGTGTGTTTGCCATCACCATCTTTTTTTGTGCACTCATTTCCTTCCTCATGCTGTTAATCATGTGTGTAAAATTAAATGTGTTTGGGTTGATAATGAGCTTTAGACGGGTTTTGGACTGATAAAACTTGAAAGAAGGGAGGTTGAGGAGGAAGTAAGGACCTTATTTTTTTTTTTTTGTTTGGTACCATTTATAACCAGCTGCTCTTGACCTCTTTGCTGCTGGCTGCATCTCCTGCTGTAGATCAGGAGTCATCAACATGTCCTCTTGGATGGCCCCTCGTCATACCATCTGCTCGGCTGTTCTCCTGTGTTCAAATCATGCAATATTCATGTGAATCCATCATGTTGCCTCTTTCGCGCTTGTAAATCCTGTAGACAGGATTTGCCACTCAGAGCCATTTGTCCCCCCTCCACTTCGCCTCCTCGTCCTTCATTTTCTAACAACTGTTGCAATATATTCTCATCTCATCTTCTACCTCTTTTTTGCTCTTTTCTTTCATCACTGTGTGAATGTGAGAGTAGACCTCCAATAAAGTCACACCTGAAAGCATCTCTTCCGAGTCTTTGTGCTTCATGTGTCCCGTGTTATCTGTCCATCAACTCCGCCACACTCAGAGGAACCATAAAGACACCCCCCCCCCCCCCCACCCCCCCAGCATGGACTCAACCTTCAGTGCCTGCTGTCATAATACCTCCATATTGTACTGTGCGTGTTTACAATATGTTTTATTGTTTGTGTGTGTGCATCTTAGAGATTCTTTTTAAGTGGACATACCATCTCTGAAAGTAAGTCACCACGTCAACACCTCTGAGTTATTGCATCATTCTTTTTAAACATTAAAAAGAGGTTATTTTCATTCACATCCTGACATATTAGCTTTTCACCAACATGACTGATTTTATACACAATTCTACCAACCTCCTGGCTTGTTTTCTTTACTTGCATGGTTCTTGAACAGTATCTCAGCGGATAGAGCAAGCAGAGGGAGATCATAAGTCACTGAGACACTGCGCTGGTTTGTAAAATGTATGTGTGTGTTTGATTTAGACATGTTAAGGGTGTCGGAAGGGCAGGGGACTCGCCTACCCAAAACCAGAGCCCCCCAAAGGAGCACTCTGACCAGTGTTGTACAGTTTCTAGGTAAATCAACACACACACACACGCACACACACGATCAGTGTTTTAGCAGCACGGTTGTGCTGAATAACAATCAAATTATAATAATATAAGTAGACGTCATTCAGATAGGAGCCAGTTGATGCAGCTCCAGTGTTGTGTTTCTTCCAGAGTCTCGTCCAGCACCCCACGCACCTCGCTCCCACCGCACCCCGGGCCTGCAGACGCCTCCCCCTCGACGCCTCCTCTCTTCTCTCCCGCACGGCCCCCACGGCATGCTGGGAAAACGCAGCTACCATCACCACAGCAGGGCTGAGCCGGACAGACGCTCAGGTAGACACACAGACACACATTTCTTCAAAATAATTAGCTGAATTACACAAAAGTATTACGATTAATTCAACAATAAGAGTGTTATTGCTTAACTTCATCCTTAGAAGCAAAAAGTAATTCACCTGTTTTCATCTGTTAACCCCCCCAAAACAAATCTTGCTTTTAACTGAGTTACTTATGATGTGAGTGAACCTTGGGGACCAAACAGTGTTGATATCCAATGTCCTTGTCATCCTTTTGCTTGATAAAATCAAATTAGTGGATATACACCCGGAGCTGATAACCTTTTCTGCCATTTCTTATCTAAACTAGCTCGTTGGAGAGAATGACAACTAATTCTAATGAAAACGAATCAGCAGATGGGGGTCATTTGGATAATTTGGATGATTCAACTTCAGTCTGACACTTTGTTTTTTATTGGTAACTTCACTATTTTTATTGAAATTGAAACAGTCATTTGTTGCACCACTTGTAACTAGGAAAAGTAATCAATACTTTTCAAAAGTGACAGATTTCCTCATGCATACATTGCATCTTTCTCTTGTTTTTGCAGATAACCCTGGTACAACAGGTGGACCCCTCCTGGTAGGTGTCTAATACTCTTTAAAAAAATGTATCCTGTACAACTGCATCACCGCTTATTGCAATAAAATTATAAATATAATTGTCTTTTTGCAGCATAACGGCCGCAGCAGTAGCAGTGGAAACACCCGAGGTGGCGTCATGGTCCGCAAGAGACGCCCCAACTGGATCGATGCCCCCGATGACAGCTTCTTCCTTGTCACCCGGGACACCAGGTAAGCAAAGGTGACACTTTTCAAAACTCTGATTGGCTGAGTGTGTGCGTGTGAGGGGACAGCAAGTGATGCTGAGAGCCCAGCAACAGCATAATAGAGGGATTGAGCTGTGGCAGATGTTATTTTTGTTGTGCGTCGACCTCAGACAGCTGTGTGTAGTGCACACACAAACACGTACACAATGCATGTGTGCCTCAATTCACGAAGACCAATTGAGTTGAAACAGAGTGGCAGCCTGCCTGCAGAGTAAAATCAATTAAAATGTATTTAGTGTTTATTTTCATCAAAACACTAATCTAGCTCACACAGATATGAAGCACTATAAAAGCACCAGTTTTGACCGACTAATTGAGATTTTTTTATCAGAGGGAAACATGTTCACTGTTTTTCTGGGAACTTGGGCGATGTAGCAACCGTGGGGGATTTTATGTATATATCTATTTTTTTTCTTGTCTGATTTCCAATATTTTTAGGCCAATAAAAATAAATTACGCAGGATTCAGTGAGGGGGCCATGGCATTCAGATGAAGATGCCTATGATGGCAGTTGGGCCAGCCGTTGTAGATATAAGGTCTGAGTATCTTCTCTTGGAGTGGGTGAGTTTAGGATTGAGAGGCAACTTGCTCAAGACTGTAATATTTTTAAAATAACTTTAAAAAAAGTCTCAAAAATCCCAAACAGCTGATTCTCGTTGTACACATTTGGTTGTTCACATAATTGAAAAAACATGCATTTTATGTTTTACACATAGAAAATCTGTTTCTATTCATTATTCTCACACATGCATAGACACACACACACTCTCTCACACACTCATACACACATGCACACAATGAGTCAATGTTTGCAAGTCTCTATGTGAGAGAGAAAGATGATCTCCCATTAAGTCTGTGTCTAAATGAGCCATGGCGCCCGGCATTCATCGCCGCCTTCAGATCACAGAGACTAAAATTAGCGCAGCTAACTGGTGCGGATGGGCCAGTGAGGAGCCTGAGTGGAAATATCATTACCACATTAACCATGGCTGCATTCGTATGGATCACTCACAACATAACTGTGTTTATGTGTGAGAGGGATGTCGTGACGAATATCATCCCTTTATGATGTTACACTGTTATTTGCTCCCCTTGCAGAGAAAATGAATGCTTTTCTTAATAAAAGACATCAATAGATCTGCTCTGAACGGCTGCTGCTAATGAAAGACTGGGGGAAGTTTAATTCTCTCCCCATCTCCGACTCTTTCTCAGTGTGATGAAGAACGCAATGTTCACAAAGCAAAGAAAAGCAGTGGGAGTTAGGGACACTAACACTTTCCTTTACATAGGTCACACACAATTCAAACTGCTAAACCAGAACAAAATAAGAGAAGAATATAGAATTTATATCAGTTTTTAATCCTGTGGGGGGGAATTAATGCCTGTACCTTATTTTATGGCAACCAAAAATGTCTGCCTACTGATGGCGCTATACGAAAACGTTATTAGGATTTATCCTCTGGGAGCCATGAATGTCTCTCCAAAATGTTGTGCCAATCTATACTCCTCTGGAGACTAAAACAATCTAGAAATTTCATGGCAATCCATCTAATAATCAATACTTTTCACTCTGAACCACAAATGGATAAAAATGGCATGACGATGGCAAATTCAGAGGATCAACAAGATCATTAGGATTCATCCTCAGGGACCCATGAATGTTTGGAGATGATCTCATTGCAATCCTTCCAATAGATGTTGAGATATTTCAGTCTGGACCAAAGTGTAACAGTGCAAAACAATCAAGTTAACGTGTTTAAAAAGGAAGGTGAAGAAAATGATTTTGACACCTAATCATTGGTGGAAAGAAGCAAAGTACATTTACTCAAGTACTGTTCTGAAGTACATTTTAATGTGTCTGTTCTTTCCCGTATTTACAGCAACAGCAACAGCCGTTGTTACTTTGCTGATTTTGATGAAGCAAAAACATATGATACGACCATAAAATACAACTAGTGGTTGTAAACTTCTCAGATAGTTTTATTCAAACAGGTTTTTCTTTCCTATCCGATTTATCATCTTACGATTAATCTTGTGACCCTTTGAAGGCCCCCGACCCTTATGTTGGGAACCACTTAAAACAACTACTTAACTGTAGTTATTGTTGTTTATTATCCATCAATGCATCAGTATAAATAATCTAGTGATATTATATATTAATACAAGTATATCAGTGACAGGAGACATGTTTCAGCAGAATTAGTACTTATCATACTTATATTTTGATGATGATACTTCTGTATTAGTTAAGTAGGATTTTGGGAGTATTTTTACATTGAAGTACTGATAGTTTTACTGAAGTAAATAATCTGCGTAATTCTTCCATGAATGTGCCTAAAATGAGATACAGAGAAGTTGAATTTGGACAGAGAAATAACAGGAAAAAAAACGGACATTTTAGAAACCAGAACGAGAAAAGGCGAAACAGAAATGTAAATGAGACTGCTGGATAAATTTGAGCGTGTTGGATTTACATGTTTGCTTTCCTCCCCCCAAAGGCCAGCTGAGCAGACAAGCAGCTTGGCTTTAGATAATGTGCCACCAGAACAAAATCTGCTCTTTTCTTCTCTGCTTCCCATTCTGCCTTAACTATAAGTGACCTTACGTATGTCCCGCTGTGTGATAATCCCAGGGTTCATTGTACTTGAGAGACGCGTGTGCAGATGCACGACTGTCTCATACAAAGGGGTACAACACATGCACTTTCAGGCCTATTTGCTATACTTGGATGCACAGGCACATAATGTGTGCAGGGTCTTCACGAGTGCTCATTTTATCAACAGCTGGGATCTGGAGGGAACGGATGTGTTTTCCTGTTCACCAGACAAGGAAAACATCCGTGGTGCTGCAGAGAAAGCAGCGAACGAGGAAGAAAAGACGAGGGCTGTGCGTTAAATCTGAAAGTGACCGCCTGAAGGAAAACATGAATCACCTATACGTTATGGTTATGTATCTCGTATTTAAATGAATTCCATTAGTGTGCGTGTGCCCCATGCCTTCCTGTAACAGCACAAAGCCCACTGCAGTCTGGAAATGACAAAAAAACCAGCAAGCTCCTTTATATGAGTCTAAAAATCCTGCAGAGGAGTACCTCTCTCTTTCCTCGTAACAGAGATGTGCGTTCGTAATTCTACTACTGATGCTCAATAAAGGAAATGAGAAAAATTTGGTTGTTTCTAATTACTTTCTCAGCAGCCTGGAAGCAACGTTTGGTGCCTTTTAACTGAACTTTTCGTCCGTGTGTTAAACCATTTCAACCAACTAAAAGTTTGTAATATTCTCTCTTTATTAGTTTCTCCATTTTATGTCTTAAATGCATCATTAAGTTTTATGTCTATGCAGCCTTTTTACTACAGGCCGTAATCCAGGCATCAAACCTGTTGTCAGCTCCGCATAAATAATGCATTCAGTCAAATAATATGTGAGGCTGAGCTAGTGGGACTTGCTGAAACATAAAAAATGCAATCTTGAGCTATTGGCTACTAACTTATTGTTTATTATCAAGCTCCAAGACATATTTCATGAAGAATGAAACTGTTAGAAACCGTTGTCTTTGACAAGATGAAGTGCATCTCCAGAGACTAAAGAAAATAAATTGATCAATGAAAAAGTAAACAATCCAAATTTCCCAAATAGGAAAAGTAAAAAAAAAAGAGCTATTTTTCAATATGCTTATGCGTCCTTGGTGAAAGCTGGATGATCACATCTGTGGGCTAAATATGAAGCTAATATGACGCTACTGCCGGCAGCTGGTTAGCTTAGCACAAAGACTGGAAATGGGGCCAAACTGCTAGCCTGGATCCGACAAATTTTGATAGGCAAAACAATCTCACCATAAGGTCTATTTAGTAACTATCCTGGAGACGGAGTTGCCGAGTGAACAATTTCTATTGAGATTGAGCCTTTTACAGACTTCTCATCCATGTTGGGCTGAAAAATTGAGATTAAAAATGAATTCCTGACCCTGGCACCGGTAATTTGGCCACCTGGTGAGATTATTTTGTCTACTACTGTTGCTGTTACGACTACTAACTACTCTTTCCAAGGTCAAGAATGCACTTTCAATCTGGAGTTTTCACTGACATTAGCTTGGCATCCGTGTGTCTTCTTCTGCACTTATGTCCCGTCTCGTCTCCACGCCTCCAGGAGGGCCAGGCGGCTGCTGTCCCGCTCCCAGCTGAGGCACGCTTGTCGGCAGCCATGCGAGCAGATCACCCTGCGCAGGGTCACCCAGGCCCCGCCGCAGGGGCTCGTCCTTGCCCCTCCGCACCCTCACCCCAGCTTGAGGATGCGAGGCCCCATCGTCATCCACGACTGACCGCGCGCGGATCCTCTGACACCCCTGCTGCATACTAACGAATACATTCTCACCCCCTGTTCTTTCATTAGATTCCTTAAAATGCTGTTATAATCCAGAACACTTAAACAAGCCGTCTCTCAACTGTTTGGCAACAGAAGGATGTCCCCAGCTGTGATGCAATAGAAACATGCACCTGACCTGACTGCAAGTGCTGCCTGTCTGTAATCCTGGGATTGTGTAAATACTGTATTTGGGTGCATGCGAGTGTGTGGAAGAGAGAGATAGTGTGTGTGTGTGTGTGTGTGTGTGTGTGTGTGTGTGTGTGTGTGTGTGTGTGTGAGATAATGCCAACAACACATGAGAGAACGAGTGGATGTTGACGTGTGCTGTTCTTAGTTTTTATGGATGGACATAACAACAGATTTTTGTGCGACTTTCTTTTGTGTTGATGGTGAATTGTTGTGAAGTTTTATCAGATTGTATAAAGTTATTTTGGGTGGGGGCATGGGGCTGGATTACTTTGGGGTAGAGGGTGGGATTGCATTTGTGGGGACTCTTTCAACATTGGAGAAGAAGGCAAATGTCCAACGCTGACGTTAAAAAGAAAATGCACTATCAACTGAACGAGCAGCCTTTTTTTTTTTTTCTTCAGCTGCATTGAATTGCGTTGTACCTGCAGGTTTTCACGCTCTTGTTGAGGTTTAAATCAATGAGCTGGAGCCGGTGTTGAGGAATGATGACCTGGAGACATTGTTTCACAAAATAACTCCAAAAAGCTGTCAGTCATTCATGAGAAATCTGCAGGTCTGAAAATATAACAAGGCAAAGAAATAGAGAGCCAGCTCACATCAAACAGCGTACGCCTCCCTCCTGAACCAGTGTATAATATATTGTATATCTCATTAAAGCACTGTAAATCTACTCATCCTATTTCTATGGCCGACTGTACCTACCTAGCCCTAACATGGGAACTAAAGCACTTCCTTTGCAACAGAGAGGGGCATGGATCTGTCATATTTTCCTCAAGGCAGTGATGTACCGGCAACATTTTGAGGCAAAAAGGAAAAAAGAAAAGAGCACCTTTGCCAGCAGTTGTTTGCTGTATATTTCTTCATTGTTTCTTAATAACAACAGTCAAGTTTCTCCTGTTTTCAGGTCCTCTCTCTCTCTCTCTCTCTCTCTCTCTCTCGATGCTGCATGTTGCCAGAGGGCGTTGCCTCAGAAAGTTGCTGGTGAACCTATCCTGCCTTCAGGTGTGTTTAATTATGGGTTTTTAAAAACTGGCATCGCCGCCGCATGTCTTTGAGGTGAGAGCCTCCGCCGATGATTTCTTCTCTTTCATTCAGAATGTTTATGTTAGTGTTTCCTGTATGTCTTGTGTTGAATTATGAATATGCTGAAAATAAATAATAAAAACATTGCAGGATTATGATGTCCACTCTCGGGAGTCATTTCGTGGTGTTACATCCAGACAGGCGGCCCTGTCTCCCAGCCACCTACTCCGTCTCTCTGCCTCTTTTGGTTTTGCTCTTGAGGGGGTGGTGATGATAGATGGATAGATGGGGAGGCCTGGTACACACTGTGGCCTGTGTGATGGTGTTGTAAAATACCCCCAACAAATTATGGTAATTTGACCCAGTGAGGAGGAATGAGGAGTGCTCTCAGGATACAAATCATGTTCCGGGAAGCTTGCCTCGAGGTTCTTCGCTGTATGTGCTTTGTCTTTTACTGCAGCATTTAGAAACACGACCACAGTCCACTGTTGCAACTGCTGTGTGTTTTTAGTTTCCACCATATTTTCTATACTGTTTGTGGTTTCCCCTGAAGGTGAAAGAGCGTAAATTACATTATTTAGATTAAACACGACATGTTCTAATTGGATTTGTCTTAATATGCATGTGGGACTGCAGGGGATTAGAACAAAGCAGATTTAACATGCTCGTCATGTCATCCCTTTGTAATGTAATGGCTATATAGTGGCCAAAGGTATGTGGACAACTATATATATATATATGTGATTGTTGAGTATGTCCAAAATGGGCTTTAATATACTGCTTTTCAGAAGATTTTTTTCTGCAGGGGTTTACTCCCATTCAGAGAGGATGTGTGAGCTCGGGCACAGATGTTGTTCGGTTCATCTCAAAGGTGTTGGACGGGGTTGAGATCCGGGATCTGTGCAGGCAAGTCAAGTTCACACACCCAAGGAAAGTGAGTGTCCTCTCGACTTTGTGGTAAAACCGTTTCTTTATGATGGGAAAGTATCTCCCCCAAACTGTCACCACACATTTGAGAGCATAAGGACTTTTCTAGACGGGAACCAACCCAAACCATGAGAGGCAGTCCAAATGACTCAAATGAGTCTAAAGCTTGTATTTTCCAGTTGTTTTTCACAGATTTCCCCCACATTTGTCTTGATATTATTGCACGTTGCTGTTTATTTTTACCTTGGTAAAATACTTTGCAGCTGTTGATGATGATGTTGAGGCATTTTAAATGGCAGATAATTTAGTTGCTAAAACGTTTTTAAAAAGATGCCTTAAAAGCCTATTTGGGTTATTTTTTTAAACTATATTTTATAAATAGAGTGAATAAATAACAAAGCACGATAGGTCAGGTATATAAGTTTCATTATCATTAGTTTTCTTCAAACTATTAAATTGTTTGTTTTTTCGACGAAGGAAAATGCCAAAACACTCAAAATCATAATTTACTCATGTTGAAATTGGAAGTCGAAGCTTTGTGAGAGGTACTTGAACGCAGCACGTTGCTGGACTCCGTGTGACCACCGGCGTCACTGGATGTTATCACTGGTCTCCTTCATGTCTAACGCGTTCCAGGTCACGAATTAAGTCAAAATAAAATAAAGGTCTAACAAAACTCTTTCTATTTTTGTCCTTCACAAGCTTTCCCAGTTATCTGGATCAGGAATCCTGACAGACTTCCGCCGAAGCTCCAGTGGCGCAATCGGTTAGCGCGCGGTACTTATATGACAGTATACAGCAAAGCGATGCCGAGGTTGTGAGTTCGAGCCTCACCTGGAGCAGAGTTTTTAAGGTAACCTTTGTGTCGTACAAATATTTACTCAACCGTACTTACAATAATAGTCACGCATTGTGGTGTATTCAAATGCTACTCACGTTCACACCCCACTGCATCTTCGTTCTATACCAACACATCTGTATTGATCTGTGATGATGCATTACTGGACAGTATATGCGTCATTCAATACAAAAGTAAATTGGCATGTGATACAACTAAAGGCTGATAAGACAGCAATACATATGAGTAGCTGCAGCACAATAAATAAGTAAAGGTCAACAGAAAAAGTACAAAATTAATAATACTTTTTATATTAAAATAAGAATAGATGTAAAATATTCTACAGCAATAGACTATAGAATATCAAATGTAATATAGTATTATATGTGATGATTATTTCGTCAGTGTAATTAATAAACATATTTCAGCCCTTGATAATTAGCCAAACTATCTTGTTTTTGTATTGGATCATTAATTTTTATTTTTAAAGTTCATACTGAAAATGGAGCTCTTGGCAGCTTTGGTCCGTCTCCCTCCATCTTCTCAGGTGTGTTGTCCAACAGCGCCCTCTGGCGGTGAACAACCAGAACGGCTACTCTGCTGTGAAACCAGCTTTTCACCACTAGAGGGCGGTGTAACTGCACCGGACAGAGTGCACAGCTTCTGTACCTCTGTCTGCCTGCTACAGAGAAACGTGTCAATAGTCCACCTCTGGTAATTTGTTTTTGTCATTTATATTCACAAATCTATTTTATGAATATATCAATACATCAATCATATTCAGACACGCTTTTTTCCAACTGTAAATGATTGTTACATGTTATATACGAGCCTATATCTGTGTCCTTGGGAGTGTGTGTGTGTGTGTGTGTGTGTGTGTGTGTGTATGTGTGTGTGTGTGTGTGTGTGCAGGCCTGTCACTCTAAGCCCTTTAAAGCTGGGAATGAACAAGCAGAAGATTGCAGTAATGATGTGACCCAGATGTCCCGGGTGCAGATCTCCAGGCTGAAAATGAGAGTGCAGATCAGAGCATCGTACCTCCCGTCACCCCTCCCGCCTCCCCCCTCCCTCCGTCCGGCTGGCCCGGGACACAATCACGGAGTATTTAGCAGCATGTGTGTATGAATGCATGCATGTAAGTGCATGTGTGCATATCATTTGAGGGAATGTTTGTGTGTCTTTAAGCTCCTCCAACACGAGGGATCAGATTTTGGAGTGTGTGCCACTTGTTCTTGGTGCTCCGGATTAGACAAAACAGTTTTTTAATTTACTCTCCTTAGCTGCCTCCATAAGGCGCTAAAGCCTAGCATCGCCCCACCAGAGACCCTAACCCCACAACTCCCCCCCCTGCAACCCCCTTTTTACTCACCCATCCCCTGAGGTGACCAGGTGGCTGAACAATCACACACACAC